CAAAACCAGTGCTTGAAGTGCCTGAAATTAGCACTTGCGTGAACCAAAGAAAGTTTCCAATTCTTCATCAAATCCCCGAAGAAAATCACTAAACTCAATTTTCTGTTTTTTTTGCAGATTATCAGGCCGGATTGATAGCTGCTGCCTATTTGTGAATTTACATAATATGAGTTTTCCTGCCGCCCTGCTACTAACATGGTAAGTTTTCGCTCTCAATAGTACTTCTATCGAATTTGAATATTTGCTGGCGTTTGAAACACAGAAAAATCCGTGACTTTCAACCATAAAGAACATTTTTCTGATAGAACAACAACCCTTCAACTCGCTTTGTAAAAACAATGAAAACGATCGTCTGAAACTTTTCAGCGTCTCTTAACCAAAGGAGGTAAATGAGCAGAAAATGCTGGCTGAATCATTAAAACTGCGGGTTTTGCCCGATTAAAATCTTTACTTCCAGCTCTGCAGTAACAATAAATAGGATGTAGTAGTTCGGATGTGACGCTTCTGATGTCTGCTTATTAAGCTACTTAGTTTCAGAAGTAAAATCGACTACTAGTTTTGGACAATAAATGGATTTTTCATATTAGAACTGTTTTCTTTCAGACCCATTTTCATCCTGAATTGCTCTTTAAATGACTGACTAGTTACTGACAACCGCTCTTCTTCATTACCATTCACTTCACTTTCCTAAATAGGTAAAATGGAATTTTATGTGGAAGTTATGAGACCATTTGACATGACATTTATTCGAATTTAACTTGTTTATAGGCAGTGGAAGACTAATAAAATTGTATATATTACCTCAGTTTCGTTCTGATCACTTGTTCCCTTTTTAAGTTATAAAAATTCGCTCCGATGTCGTTTTGTGTCACTTTTATGGCCAACGTAAGGCATTAAAATAAAATGGGCCTAAAGAGATATTTTTCCTTTAACGGCGTCTTTAGGGTGAAAAGCTTCCATTTTCGTTTCGATACAATTATCATAATGTATTGCGATACTTAATTCCGTTCTGTCGCCTTTACTAGTCTAATATTACATTATGTGTGTGTGCTTGTACTTAAAATGCTTTTTCAATTTACATTACATTCGATATCTGTTGATAAAGCTAAACGGAATATTGGATATTTCACGACATTTCCCACAGTTGGAACCGAGAAAAATCTGCAGCATTCGGAATTTTCTTCGAATAATCCCCCATGTTCAAGTAAAATAATGTAGCATTTAAATGAAACGACGTTCTTAGAACAAAAATACACGGATTAGTGCTTTCAGGGCATCGGTAATTTTCTTTTGATTATCTAGGAAAATGTTTTCGTTTAACTGTGGAATGCCGGTTTGTGTTTCTGTGCCAGATTTGTAGGTGTTAGGATGCTTTTCCAGTAATATCCATCTTGATGTTGTTTTTTCCTTTAACTTATCGAACGAACACTATTGATTTAAAACTCAGCTTTCAACATGTGCCAGTTTCAGCCTGAAATAACACTTCCAAAACTTGCAATTTATCGCCCATCTATTTTACGCCGACGTATGGAGTGTTATTTTCAGGCTAGACGAGAGCTAATGGGTTCAAAAACTGTAGCTTTCTGAGATTAGCGCATCCTAATAATTGCTACTTACATCAGAAAACTATAACCGATCTGAATCTGAATGCTTAAGGTTTCATTGTTGTACACAACAGTGTTGTTTCCTTTTCAGACACTACATTGTGAGCCTTCTCGCATTAAAATTTCCAGTTAAAATAACTTGAAAACTGAACATTCCCCGGACAGAACTGTTTCTATTGCCGGAAAAATAATTCTGCTGCACTTATTCAAGAAACAGCATTTGCCGAATTCGGCTAATTAATGTTTTTAATTAAATCAGTGTCTCAGTTCCGACTGGCACGTTTCCAAGTGGTTTAAAACCAATTAATCAGATAAAGTCAAACAGAATAAAAAAACTTTGAAAATAAATAACTCACTTTGTAATATTAGCTGTCGTGCGGAGATTTATACATCGCTTTATGAGATTCTCAGCTTTTTTAAACTTTGCAGTATTCATTACAAAACTGCTTGTTGTTGTTGAAACAGCTGTCGAAGAAAACGAAACTTTTGAGACCGCACATTGTTGTTTGCGTTAAACGTGTAATGGAGAAGTCTGGATCTGTTTTGTTGTTTCAAAGTAATTTCTCTGTTCTCGACAATGTTTCTATAAGCGTTCGAATATTTCATTTGCTACAGTTAATCGATTGTAAATCACTTGGAGTTTAAATGGAAAAATCGAAAATGAACTCGCTTATTTTGTGCCCTTGTCGTAATTTTCACGTCAACAAGAACCGTTTTTATAGGCCTGGAAATAGAAATGCGATGCCTGCTGTTACTTCGGCCTGTTTTCGGCTATTTAGGGATGAATTAATTGAGATACTGACAGAAATGAACCTGCGAGAATCAGTGGTGTGCCATAAGCATTTAAAGCCATAAATAGGCCTCAAACCGTTTGTGTCCATGTATAAGTTCTAATTAATTGCTCAATGTTCGATTGTTGTTGACGTGCATTATTGATAATCGGACTCAGTAATTGTGACTGTTTTTCTAGTTCAATGTTGTCCACAAATGAACTGTTTAGTTTTCCACTTGTTCATTAACAGATAATTGCGCTTGTAAAGTGGTTGGATTAATCATCAAATGGCCCAAACCAAACGTTTGGTTGTTAAAATGTGCTAGTTTTACT